TTAACTCTCTCTCTCTCTCTCTCTCGTGGTCTAAGCAATATTGAATGGATTCTCTGTGAATTGTTGAGCTAGTTCTGTCAACTTCTGCTTTAAATTCTGTCTCTCTATCTCTCTCTCTAGCTTTTGAATATACCAGTGTTGTTCTATTGCTCGAACACTCCCATCAACATACAGTCTGCAGAAAAATATGATATCATTCCGGTTAAAAGCAGGATCAAAGAGGAGGCTCTCCGACAAGCACTTCGCATTGTGTTCGATCTAATTCCTCGGTAGTAATATAATATTGCTGTCCTTTTCGATTCAGTGCAAACTCCGGTCACGAACAACTAAATAGTCCGTACCCGAAACTTTGAGAGATCACCGACACAAACACAAAAGCCACTCCTTTTTCTTGCACAGTCATCTCCACCGGGCTAACTTGTTTTAAGCTCACCTGAGAGTCGGTGATGGCCACCAGTAGTGCTCGTAGGCCAACTCTGCCACTCGAGGTTAGGCAACAACAAAGCTTGCCATCGATCGACAAAGCTTTTCCTGAGGGTGCAAGGAGTAAGATGCCATGACACTGATGCCTGCTGGCGATACACCAGAAGGCGCACTCTCCAGATCCTACTGGTGATGCTTTTCTCCACTGCTTGTCTTTTGTCGAGACCTTTCCGATATATTTAAGATATATTTCATCCGTTCTGATGAGAAAAATTAACTCAGTTAACTTGTTGATCTTAAATTACTAACTTAAACTACTCAGATCTAAACTAGTAGTTGTAAACTCGTATAGTATTTATAAGTACATTCAACACGATCTACCAACTGAACAATGATTTCATGTCTTGATGTGTTCCTCTATTTATTTATTTAAGTTAATGGTAATAGACTATCTAGTAATTATACGTCCATTTAAAATTTCCCACCCATTAGATATGAGGTAAATTGAGGTACTACAAGAATATAAACACTCATGCATTTGCTAGCATTGTCTAAACAAAACCTTATTCCGACGAAAAATGCAAGTGCATTTAAGACATTTAGCAACTAGTTCATCTAAGAGAGTAAGATAAGTTAGGCATAGTATGCCATACGATCTTGATTCACTTTTAAAATAATACTATAGATTTCTTATTCACGAGTGATAAAATTATAATGACATGATTGACACTACAACACCAAGTGATCGATACCTCGATGCCAGGTGATCGACATCTCAACACCATGCGACCAACACCCGGATGATGGATGATTGACATTTTGACGCTAAGTGATCGATTTTTTAACGTTATGTGGTTGATATTTAACCATAGTGTAATTATTGACAAAGTGGGCTAAAAATTGTCATGAATTCAGTATACTACTACTAAGTTAAGTTCAAAGAAAGTACATCATAACTTTAATGGTCAACACCCACTATGGATGGAGGTAATAGCACTTGAAGCTCACAGTATAAAAATGACTTCTTAGGTACATTATTAATATTAAATTTCATGCTAAAAGGCTAATTGAATCATCTAAATTACTTCATAATTTAAGCATAAAAAAAATATTATTGAGTAATATCACCTAAGTCCACTATAAAATGATTTTTCAGATACATTATTAATGCAATCTTTCATGTTAAAAGACTAATTGAATCGTTCGAATTACTTCGTAATTTAAACATAAGAGAGATATTGTCGGGAAGGTCTTAACATAGTTTTGCAGGAATCAATACAACTAGAGTTTGATTAGTCTGGTGTCAATGATATTAACTTGAGATTAATTCGAAAGGAGGACTTTGGTTAACTTTGATTTGAATCAGTTCCCAATTTCGACAATTAAAATATAATTTAACAAGTAGTAAATTTTAGATAAGAAAGTAATATATAGTGACATATAATGATATGTATAATGACATTGTTTCTAGTTTTGGTGATGACAAAATCAGTATTTAAGTGCTTTCCTATCACTAGTTTTTTAAGTTTTTATCTTCTTCTTTTTTTCTGATAATGGATTAGCTTATAAGCATACTAAGGTAAATTTTAATGGCAGAGATTATTTATGGATGGAATTACTGTGACTGATAAGTGTCTAGCTGAGATTAATTCCAACTTGAACCATGAAGACGTGTTAGAAGTTGAAGGTTTTGGACCTAATACAGTCAAAACAAGAGTTGCGCACGTCAATTTTAGCTCTATAGAGGGAATACGTGGTGGGATAGTCCAAATAAAATGGGAAAATAATTCAGAAAAATAAATTTTAGATATCCCTATCTTTATGGGTAAATTTCTGAAAATAGTCCCTATCTTTTTCTATTTTCTCATAATGCATAAAGTTCTAAAAATTTTAAAATATCATCTTTTTAGAAATAATTATTTTTTGCTCTTGTTGGGCATCACTTTCCGTCGTACTTGGTTGTGCCTTCGTCCTCCTTCGCCTTACACCTGATAGTCTCACCTGTTAGCCCTCGTGCAAGGAAAGAGAGGTCGCATAATGGATGAGCCTTATGTCGATGATCATCAATGATAGAGAAAAGTTTGAAAAGGAAAAAGGTAACGATGAATTTACAGGGGACTAATAGGGTCTGCAAAGATAACTATGACCCTCGCATCCCCTTCTAGCTTACGTGAATGCTATGATCGATCATGACAAGACTCGATGGGCTGAGGAACTAGCCGTGAATGAAGATAAGATTATAGTTGGGCCTTCGAGATACAAGCAAAATTTTTTAAAAATAAAATATTTTTTCACACAGTAATAGCCTGTGAGAATTTTTTGAAAGTTTATATCTTTTTATGGGAATTCACCCATGTTTTATGTTTTATTTGGTAGAAAGGAATACATTAGACCGAAAGCAAAATTATTAAAATAACATACGAGCCGACTTAACTGACAACTACGGAGCAGCGCACCGCTCTTTGGTCGTGAATTAAGTCGGTGCTGTAGCGGCTCCCTCGGTATGCAGTCGATCATGGTAGATTAGAATGCCCTCGTCGTCTCAACTCGTTATCGAACCATGTCGGTGTCCAAGGTAGCGGCATTTTCGCGTGAGGCGGCCGAGGGAAGGGGACGAATCGGGGGGCCGCAGCAGCCTCGCCCAAATCAAGAAGACCCGACATTTTTTTCATACGAAAGATCTCCGGATTTCGTGTTCTTCTGAAAGCTCAATGCGAGACGGGAAATGGCGTAGGTGTTGCGCACCGAGGAATTGCCTCCCGGTGAAAGGTCACTGCCTAACCCCCGTGGCTAGCTTGTGGTATTTCTGGAACGCGCAGTCTTCTTCTTTGGTGGAATCTTGAACCTGCAGCGTTGTAGGGTTTTGAATTGGCATGCCCACCATGTTTTGCCTGCATTGGCGGAGCGAGACCCATCTTGTATGGCGTCATTTTGGTGTTGGGGGTTGCTTCCTTGATGTCCTAGACGAGAAACCCAAATATCAGGTGTTGGGGGTTGCTTCCTTGATGTCCTAGACGAGAAACCCAAACCCAAATATCATCCGACATTGTTTGGAGGAGGAGATTCTGTTTGGAGGAGGAGATTGTTGAGATTTGATTCGTTATCTATCTAGATAGTTATCATGATCCAGTGGTTACACGATGATTTTAATAACCACCTCAATCATGATTTAGTAGTTATAGGTGATTTCAATAACTATCTCAATCTAGTAGTTATAGGGTAGTTGTCACTAGGTCCTATAAATAGGACTGTAGTTTATGAAGCAAGTAAGTGTGAGTTTGTGTGCATTTGGTATCTTATAAATGTTTTTATCAATTTTCCTATTTTTTAATACTATATCAGTTTTCCTGAGTCGAAAGGCTTCTTTTTTCTTGCATCCTAGTATTCTGTTTTTTCCTTGCTCCTCCATCCCCAACATTGTGGTATCAGAGTCTAGTTTCAATTTGAACTGAGCATTATGGTTTTTAACGGTAATTCCATGTCTCAACCCCTTATCCCCATATTCTCGGGCAAAAGCTAT